CTTAACCCAGAATTGATGAAGCATGTTGAGTGTGACATTACCCCTGAAAACATGATCAATCAGAGAGAGGTTCCCCCAACAGGAGTGAGGAGGCCATGGATTTGGATCTGGTGTGCTTTTGGTTGCCCTTGAAAAAATGAAGAAACATGAATATTAAGTTGTCTGAAGCTTCTTAAATGAAGCATTTTGGTAATTCATTTTTAACATATCTTTATTATTGCTGTTTTTTTATCAAACTTGTGAAGTTTTATATTCTATCACTGTTAATTAAACATGATTGGTCAGATACTCAGAAACACTCTTAATTAAAGGCCAAACATGCAGACTGGGTTACCCGAACTGAGGGTATTTCAAACTTGGCTCCATCTGCAAGTTTATGCACTATTTTTATTAAAACTGTCACCATATTGCACCTATTTTGGTATGATGCATGTGCCTGATATATCCTAAAGTTACTAAGGCACAAAGGGGGGTTATTGGGTGTAGGAGAATTAGAAAGCAGAAATATTACTAAGGAGTAAAATCAATAGAAAAGTAATCAGAAAGACAATAGTTAATGATTGACATTGCAATTAAATTTTGAAGATTAAAGTTAACTGGAAAACATGGAACCAGAAGAGAATTCCACAAATAAGAAGAGCGAGAAAAGAAACAGTCATCATTGAATTTATTGTTACATCGAAAGCCAATTTGACTGTAAATTGATGAGACCTTGTTGCCAATCTAGTACTGCTCTTAAATTCATAAAGTGTAGGTATCATAGCAAAGAACTCATCCGAACAATTACCATGAAAATATTTATAGAAAAGGCATAGAGAACCAAACTTACAGTAGTGGAAAGTGACTAAAGCTGAGAACCAAAACAGCAACCTAATATCCTCATCAAAGAATTGTCATTTGAGCTTTAAAGGTCCCTTAAAACACCAGCAAATTCTTCCTCTCAAAAGAGTGATAATCACTTTATGCATTCCAATAAAGTGTTTAGTTTGAAATTCCCAAAAGTTTACCAAACATGATAGACACTTGATGAGGGAAGAAAGGTGAAGTGACTAAAAAGATATAAATACAGAATGACTGAGTCTATAATGTCACTTTTAATCTTTCATTGCAAATAATATTTCAAGTTTGTAATCATGAAATCTATCATTAATAAAAAAAAAAAAAAAAACAAGAAGAAATATTACAAGTAGAAACAAAAATATGTGATTATAGAAGTATTTTTAGGAGCAAAATTGGATCTTAAAATAGAGATTTAAATTTAAACTTTTTACAAAGATTTCACAAAGGATTATTTCCATTTTAAGCGGCATTCATAGAACAGGCAGTAAAAAGGGTCAGACACTCGCAGCATGTAAATATTTATTACTGATATTAAATTTTTGTTCTAAATCTTTATTACAGATATTTGAAGCTTTCAAACTAAAATAAAACATCTGAATGCTCACAGAAAATATTGATTTTTTGGCACAAACTATTACACACACACACATACACGTGCATATACATAAATACATACATATATATATATATATATATATAATTGACTGTATTAGAGATGTTTAAATATTATTGCTATATTATATATGTAAAATTATACAAACTATATATATATGCAGTAGTCTGCATTGATATAGGGATGTGCAGTTACATGCATATATATATATATATATATATATATATATATATATATATATATATATATATTCTTACTATATATTATTGAAATAATAAGGTATAATGTTAGATTATAAATAAAATCCATTAATTCCTTTTTATGTCTTGGATACAAAAATAAACATTAGCAGATATGAGTTTAGAGATTCAAATGAGATATTCATTTCTTAACTAGGGTAATTGAACTTTGCTTGACTATCAAAGTCTTCTGTGGTTGAGTGGTCTAAAAGCATACCTGGTGATGTGATACTTTCCCTTACCAGGGAGATGCAGGTTTGAATCCTGCTGGAAGGCATATTTTCTTTATTAATACTCTCAAATGCACAGGCCAGTAGACATAAATTTACCCTTTTTTAAAAGCAAATATGTCTACTGAAACATTTATCAACAAATTATAATATTTAATTGGTGATGTGAGATTTTATTATGCAACTTTAGTCAATGGAGGCTGAGTTTTCACTTGAATGATTTAATTATACTAGTGGGTTTTTTTATATAGGGAGATAGTGAAGTTATTGTTATTAATGTTTATCAATATACCCAGAAAAGGAATTTTATTACTATTATTAAGTTTGTATGTAAATTTAAGGACAAAATTATTTTGGAATTGTTTTTGGAGTTGATGTATTTCTTCCATATTTTTTACAAATAAGATGTTCTATTAGAAATTTTAATACAAAGCAAATAGAATAAAATACATCTTCAACTAAGCCAAACATATTAATCTTTTATAGCATAATGAAATACATTCTATTTATAAACAAGACAAAAATATCTTAAAGAAACTAATAAATACTAATATATATCACCACAAATCCAAGTAAAAAATAAAATTAATTATATACTACACTAAATTCACTATATTCAATTTAATCATTCATAATGACTCCACCCAACCAACTAACATGTTGCAGAAAACCAACATTGTATATAAATTTAAATATCACGTAGGAGATTATATCTCCAACAGAAAAAAATAACATTTATGTTGGTCACACTACAACTATGCTGTCTCAGAGGCTAAATTTTCATTTGAATGATGCATCTAACATTTTTAAGCATTTACAGCAGAATGCCTGTCCACATTTGCAATTTAGGAAAATTCTTGTCAAAAATACATCTATACTTTTTCATGAAAATAATAAACATAAACTAAAAATTCTTGAAGCTATCTATATTAAAAAAAATGAAACCAACCCTTAATAAAATTAAAATGTTTTAAAATGTTTACATGAGATAGCTTAAAATATCTAGGTTTGTACTAATAATTTTTTATACTTTTTTAAGAAATACCCAGTCCCTCATAACTTAATTACCTCCCCTACACTAAAGCTAAATCATACTGCACATAACCTCAGCATTTTTCACTTCACTTGTAAAAAGGTTTTAAATTTCAGATGAACACAACAATTTTGTCTTGGAAAAATGATGAATACTACAATATTTGTCTTAGAAAAAAGCAACACTCTATTGATTACATTGTGCTAATGTCAAAAGTACTTGGAATAAATGAATATATATCAACCTGGTAACTTTCTCTCTTCCATTAATAATGACACCAAGAAGCTTGTGCGTGAATACGAAAGGATCCAATTGAAGATAAGTAGATAAAACTTGTCAAAATTATTCAATGAAACATGTCTCAACTTTAGAGTCATCAATGATATTGGACATAAATATATACAATAGCATAACAGTTACATTAAATTATTCTGAGTATATTCAAAATTAAAGGATATATTCCAGAGAAACATCATGTCAGATGCCAGAAATTTTAAAATTTCAGAACTTTTCTAGTTTGCTAAATTTCTTAATCTTACCAGCAAATATATTTGCTTGTTAATAAGTAAAATGTATATTTTATTGAATTTAATGTTTAAAATTGAAATTGTTTCATAGAAATTTATATACACCCAGGCAAAATACAATGAAGAAAATGTTCCTCAGACTCTAAGATATATGATAAAGACTATTAAGACAAAGAAATATTAGTATCACACACACACACACACACACACACAAGAGTCACTTGTCAATGGACAAGAGAGACTGAGAATGTTGTGTTTTTCCTTGTCTTGAACATGCAACATTTAAAGATGGTATCAAAAATCATAGTTTAACATCTTTGAGAATGAAATGCTTGAACCCATTCAATATGGCAAGATTTAGCACACTTCTGAATTGTTAAAATACATGCAAACATGATTGGAGAATAATACCAATGTACTGGGAATGATGCAAATAACTGAGGTAACAGCTGGTGGCTGTGTGATTTTTAGGTTTAAATTCCTCCAAGTTAGACCTCATCTGACAGCAAAATATTTTAATTTTAAAAATAGTGATACAAACTACCAAGTTAATATTTCTTTATTTCATCAAATAAAATTGGGAATTGTTCCTTCATGTTGGAATTCAGAATTTACAGGGAAGTTAGCACAAGGAAAGTCGGAGAAAATACTTTGAATAATGATGCTGTGCATTTTTATATATAATAGACTTTGTCAAAAAAGTTTGAAACTTTGGTTCAATGTAATATATGAACTCAATCATTTGGTAGTTAGTTATGAGGACAGTTCTGTAACTACAAAGTCTTCCTTGTGAGTTATGATTAGGTGTTCTTTAAATAAAATCATTGTTGTGTGTGCTTTGTGCTATTTCCAATTGAATGTATCATACAGGCAGCAAAAATTATTTGACCTCTTTGTGACATCCCAAATGTTCAAACATTGCTAAATCAACAAGTTCTTTCACCAGGATCTTATTCTGATTCAGGTCAGGTCTACAAGCACAAAAATGGACTCATTTATCCAGTAATAAATCTTTCTCAGATCTGCTGAAGCTTGAAAAGCGATTTTTGCATTTTGTGTGCATTCTCTGTTGAATGCACCTTTAGGAAAGACTTTTGTTGCAAATGCAAAGGACACGTTATGAAGTAAAATAATGAAAAATAAAAAAAAAATGAAGGGAAAAAAAAAATGAATGAATATTCACTGATTCTGTCCATTGGTTGTCTCTATTGAATTTCCTCCTCTCTTTTTTTGTTTAATCTGAAATCTATGGATGGCTGGTCTGATCCTGTCCTAAATTTGTTTTTCTTTGACTGATACTGGACTCTGATATGTGTTGTGCACTGCTGAAATAAATTGTAGCAACCAGAGACAGTTAAGAGTGGGTTAGAAGGTGGCATATGTAGAGAAATAGCTGCGGTTGGGTACCCAGATCCCTGTAAGTGTCCAGCTTAGGGTCAAGAAAAGGCAAGAATCTATTTTTATGTGTGTCCATTTTGTAATTCACACTGACAATATGCCAACAACAATGGTTTCCAAATGACACCAAAGCTTAAGAAACTCTTTTTGGCACATTCTTTGTCTCTCAACGTTTTTGTCTTTTTTATTTCTCTCTTTCCTTTTTTCCTTCCTTTCAAACAAATCTTTATTTCTTTCCTTGTAATTGCAACATTCTTCTCTTCATTCCAACCCCATGGTTCTTTCTTCACCTTGCAGTTTCATATTTCTTTCTTTCTTTTTTATTTATCACCAGCTTCATCTTGCTTTTGTTGCAATGTCATCTATCTTTCATTTTTAGTAACCTCATCTTTATTTATTTCTTTCATTTCAACGTAATAATTTCTTTATTTATTTGCAGTCTCACCTTATTTTGTTGCACCCTCATCTTTCATCTTTTCTTTGTAATCTCATCATTTTTCTTCCTTTCCTTGCAACTTCCTTTCCTTGCAGCCTCATTTTTCTTTTTGATGTAATCTCACTCTTTCTTGATTTCTTTCTTTCTTTCTTTGTAACCGCATCTTTCTTTTTTTCTTTCTTTCTTACCTTATCTTTCTTTTTTCTTTCCTTGCATCTTTCTTTTTTCCTCTTCTCTTTCTTTTCAGCTGCATATTTCTTTCTTTTTTCTTTCAAGCCCATCTTTCTTTCTTTCTTTCTTTCTTTCTTTCTTTCTTTCTTTCCAATCTGTTTATTTTGTTCTGCTTTTTAGTCTCTTTCTATACAATCTATAAAAGTATTTATTGGATAGTGCTCCAAAAACTTTACTACCACTGGAAATTATAAACAAAATTAATAACAAATGTAGAAAAAGGAAACAAAAAAAAAGTTACATTGCAAATTGGTCCCACCACCATACTTTCCATTCTTTTTTGGCAGGGAAGGGTGCACATGTTTGAGTACTGTCACAGTTATTTTGGTATGGAAAATGAAATCAGTAAGCTGAGTACAAATTCTGATTCTAGTTTATTTTGTTCCCTTTGCATAAGTGCTCTTGAAAAATGCATGAATATTTCTCTTCTCTCCCCAGCTATGGAATAAATTGCAGGGTAGACCAGCCTCTATAGAATACTCAAAATTTAAAAGCATACAGAAGGCAAAGGGACACCCCTTCACTATCTTTCCAAAACATTCACAGTAATTCCCATATAATAAAGAAAAGGAATTAGTGAGAAGCTATGATCACCTCCATCCTGAAGGGACAATACTTCCTAGCAACAAAATTTCAAGTGTGTTAAATACAGATAAAAGAAATTGTTTTTTTCTACCTCTGTTTTCATGTATAATGCATTTATCCTTTTGATTATCAATGTATTTTTAATTCTTTATGAGAAATTAAGAAATTAAGGAAAATTATTTCTTTTTCATTTATTTCTTTTTGCACCATTTTATTTTTTTCTCTCTTATTCAAAAACTCTCTTTTATTCTTCCTTTCTCTTTTCACTTTCTTTTTTTATCTCTTTCTCTTATTTGTCTATTTGTTCCTCTTTCTACCTTCATTTTTAGCCTGTCTATCACTCTCACTTTTTCTCTATTTCTTCTGATTTATATATACCCTTTTCTTTTCCCTGATCTTTTCTCTACCATTACCTCCTCTTTTTCACACTTCTTTCTTTTTTCTTTTCCTCTATTATTTTCTTTTTTCTCCTTTTTCTTCACTTCTTCTCCTCTCTACTTTCTTGTCATCGACTTTTACTTCTTATTTAACTACACTGCACAACTTTTTACACAAACAATCTAAACAACTTTATTCTGATCAGAAAACATTTCTAGTCTCTCTGATATTTCTAGATATCTCCCTATTCTTTGTAAGAACAGAATGGCATATTAAAACAATATAGACAATAATATTTACAATTCAATAGCCACACCAACTATCCAGCCATTAATATTACCCATCACCAAGAGGCTATAAACCAGAACATAAATGGGAATGTATCAGGAACAAAGAATTGTGGAACAAGAGGCAGTATTCAGTAATGATCCTTATCAGCTGATGGAAAGTGACACAATGAGCTTCTGTTGTAATTAGGAACCTTTATGACCTCGTTGTTCATTGGAACGTGCTTCTTGGAGCCTTTTCACATTTGCTTCATTCCTGTCACGCTGACATGACTACTATTTCTGCTTCATTTTACTTTCTTTTCTAGATTATCAGTTACTAACAGACAACTTTCCCCATACCAAGGTGGCCATATTGCCTGCCTGGATGAATGGATAAACAAATAAAGAGTATTTAGTGCTTGCATATTGTTGGGATCTTATTTGTGCTTGAATGGTTGTAATGGGGCCTGGTGTCTAGCTTCTGCTCCAAGAATCTTTTTTTCTTTTTGTTTTTTAAGCAGGCAGAAAGAGAAGCATATTTTATTAAAATGAATTCAAGGATAATGTCTTTGTCTATAACCTGAAAACTGAACCCAGTGATCATGTGAAAGAAGCAAGATGAAAAGACAAAATGAAAACCTTGTTCTTTTTTCTGCTTATATAAATTGATATACCAGAAGAGAATTATGAAATCAAATATAGTTTGCTTATATAAAGATTTAAGTTGTACAAGTTATAGAAATTACTTCTCAAAGAGCCTCAGTACAGTTGTTATCTATGATGTTTAGCTAAGTTTATGATTGCCACTGATAACTGTCTTTCTCTTTGAAATCTTTCTCATTCTTACTTTTGATGTAAGCATGGAATCTGCCTTTCATCAGGTTTGAACCATGTCTTTCTCTTTGGTCAGTAGAAAAGAAAATGAAGGAAGAAGAATTGTGGAAAAGGAAATATCCCAAATAGTGATGTAGAAAGGTATCAAAGTAAGTCTTTATTAGGGTGATTAACAATAAATCTCTGCAGGAACTGAGTTGCTGGATTTCCAACTCAGTTTCAAATATTTACACTTTATTCATAAACTCTCTTAGAATATATATATATATATATATATATATATATATATATATATATGCAATTTTATATATATTATTTATATATTATATATGGCACTTATCAGAAAGCACACAGTGATAGAGCTAACATACAATCCAACTATATATATATATATATATATATATATATATATTTATAAATATATATAGGAAAGCAAGAGAGAAACTATATCCATTTTATATATTGTTGATAAAGAGGTTCAGTATCAGGGATTAAGTATGTGTATATGTAAGAGTGGAAACAGAGTAAAACCGAATGCTGACTTCAGGCCTAGAGATTGCATTCAAACTGTTACTACTTGGTATTGACTTCAGTGTCCACTCTCATTTATATATATATATATATATATATATATATATATATATATATATATGTGTGTGTGTGTGTGTGTGTGTGTGTGTGTGTGTGTGTGTGTGTGTATACATATATTTAATTTCTAAAGAATTAATGTTGGATTAAAAATAAAATTCATTAATTTCTTAGGAATTTCTTTGTTTACATTTTGTAAAGTTAGTACATATGCACTTTCAAGCAGATATGGGCTTCTGAGAAAATATGAGTAAGATTGCATTACTTAAAAGGGGTAATAATTATGTATAGCATAAAAGTGTGTTCATGGATATGTTTATATGTGACCATAAAATGAATATTATACCAAACCTTTATTATATAATGAAATGAATATATCACCTAAATTGCACTATAGACATATTTTTGAAGTGTTTGCAGGATTTCTATTGACTTTTTATGTCAGTTTTGACATCCTTGCAAATCATATGATGGTGGCATCAGGTGATTGTGAACAGTAGAGAAACTGTTATTTCAAGCTGTACACTTTGATGAACATTACTTCAGGTTTGCATGACTCCAAGATGCCTTTTGTTTGACATCAATTTCAAAACCTTTCTCTTGAACATAAGTTTTTAGAAGACACTGTAATCTACCAAATCAAGAAAAAGACACTTTATAGGTTTTATAACTTATATAGCTATCTTCTTGGAAAATTTTTATAATGATTTTTCCACAGATCACAATTTAAAAAAATAATTCAACAAAACGAAATATTAACTGGAATTCATTAATCTAAAATAGATTTAAGAAAAAAGATGAATTAATGACAAAGACATTAGAAAACAAACTACAAATCTAATCAGAAAAATATAAAACTGGCAGACTTTAATAGAAATGTTAATAAAATTGTGGGTATTTTAGCTTTCTTTGCTTATAGACAAAAAATAAAAAAAAGTCAGACATTTGAAATTCAGATGAAGAATTCTCAGTTTCAGAGAGTGAAAATTTATTTTTTCAAGAATACTTTAATCATTATTGGCAAAAGAAAAAACCTTCTATGAAACTGATTCTTTTATTCTTTGTTTAAAGAATCTGGCATTCTAGACAAGATATATTCTGATATTTCTTTAGACTGAATTTTTACCATTATTAGATGATGTGCTTTCAGCCAATATTAATTTTTGACTGAAATTACTTTAATCTAAAATTTAAATGCTTTTTATCATAAGTCAGACTTTACATACCACTCTACTTATTTCTACTCTAGTCTCTTTAGTAACAACTGTAAACTGATAGTTCGAGTAGTTGGAAAAAAAAAAAAAGTGAAATTAAGATAGAATAGAAATACTAGTCAAAAATAAATAATGTCTGACTGTTTTAAATGTTCGGCTAATGTAAAGAAAATTGAATAAATGAAAATTTGGAGGCATTAGACTTAGTGCTAATACATATATATATATATATATATATATATATATATATATATATATGTGTGTGTGTGTGTGTGTGTGTGCATATATTTAATTTCTAAAGAATTAATGTTGGATTAAAAATAAAATCCAATAATTTTTTTAGAAACATCTTTGTTTACATTTTGTAAAGTTAGTACATATGTACTTTCAAGTAGATATGGGCTTCTGAGAAGATATGAATGAGATTATATTATTTAAAAGGGGTAATAATTATGTATAGCATAAAAGTGTGTTCATGGACATGTTTATATGTGATCATAAAATGAGTATTATACCAAACCCTTATTATATAATGAAATGAATATATCACCTAAATTTTGAATGGTTTTTTTCCAACTCTTTCTCTCTCTCCCTATATATATATATATATACATGTCTGGGTATATAGTATAGCCAATTATATATATATATATATATATATATATATATATATATATATATATATACCCAGAATTATAAAAAGAAGAATTAAAGTTTAAAAGATTAAAATTTCATCATCCCCTCCCCTTCATGCACATTTGTAATTACATCAATGGACACATCATTTTAGTCTGAATGAAGTCTTAAAGGATGAAATGTATCAAACAAAATGGTTTTTCTACTTTTTCATTAATTTTCATAACATTCTTCTGGTATATAAAAAATTATATATCATCTTCTCTTATATATATATATTCAAACAAATTTGGTTAAATAATTTAGACATGCTATGTTTGTATTTTTGTTTTAATACTTTCAGGTCCATAAATCAATTTCTTGGTAGTCGTAGAAAATTGATTAAGAAAAATACCAAAGTTTTCTTTCAAATAATTTTTATTTTCCCAAGTACTTTCAATCTAACCTGAGACCATCTTCAGAAGGTTAAATTGTCTGTGTATGTGTGTATGTATTTCTGTAAATTCAAACACCTTTACTGTTCATTTTACTGTTTTTTATCGTTATATATCAATTCTAAATTTGCAAGATTTTTTTGCTTTTTTTCTCTTCATATAAGGGAGGCAACTTTTTTATT